GTGTGTGTGTGCGTACGTGCCTGTGTGTGTGTGTGTGTGTGTGTGTGTGTGTAAGTAAGTAAAAGTTTATTTATATAGCGCCTTTCTCAGATATAAATCACAAAGCGCTGTACAACATGATAAAGATCAGGGCAAATACCTCTAACCAATAAAAACATCAGAAAAACAATAGCAGTGATAAACGTAGAAAATAAAATCATGAGTATAAACAAAGTGAAGGTGTGAACCCGAACAAAGCCATCATTCTGAAACATTTAGGGAGGGAACGCCTGGATGAAAAGGTGAGTTTTTAGATGATTTTTAAAGACCTCTACAGTGTTAGAGAGACGGAGATTTGAAGGTAGACTGTTCCAAAGTCTGGGTGCAATAGTCTGAAAGGCCCTGTCCCCTTTGGTTTTCAGTCTGGTTCCAGGAACAGCCAGCAGGTTTTCAGATGTGGATCTGAGGTTCCGAGAGGTGGTGTGTGGGGATAAAAGCTCAGATAGGTAGCTTGGAGCCTGGTTGTTAAGAGCTCTATAGGTCAGGACTAAAACTGGTTAAAAGGGCAAATTTTGTTCAACAGTTCAGGACTCAAATATAGTAGGTGATGTATTATTCTAACCATAACTACAAGTTTACACACTTAATCCTACACACAGAGAGAGAGAGAGAGAGAGAGAGAGAGAGAGAGAGAGAGAGAGAGAGAGAGAGAGAGAGAGAGAGAGAGAGAGAGGTGGGTAAGTGATTGAGACATTTTAGACTGTGGGGTCTCTGGGTAGCTAATCCCTGAAATGGAACTCGACTGGGAGGAGTGGTGAGAGGAGAGAACATGGAAGATAAGACCGTGTGTGTTGGGGGGGGGGGGGGGGGGGGGGTTGAAAGAAGAGAGAGAGCGCCAAGCCTTAGAGCTAGGAGGATGACCCAGCAGACAGGTGAAGTTGGAGCATGGCTCTCGTGGTCGAGTTTGGATGTTGTCTACAGAAGATGTTCTGACTTGTTGCTGCAGCCACGCACTCGACCAAGCCAACATCCTGGCTCTTCGTGCTGCAGGTGTTGAGGGGTGAGTGAGTGTACGTAGGACCGTCAGTACCTGGACTTAGTCTCCCTGATATCACATCTACATGTCTGCTGTCTGATATTCTCCCAGAGCTGTAGGAACATACAGACATGACGCAGGAGAACATCTGGGATGCTTTGGTGCTTCTGGAGCTAAAGGTGTCCCTAACGAGCTAGCATCTCGTTAGAGTCTTAGCTATTTCATTCTAAATGTGACACGTGTAATAAGCAGAGAAACCCCTTCTGATGTGTGTCTGAGTAGAGACATCCTGAAGCCGTTAGGATTATACAGCTGGCACTCTCAGTTTACGCGTGTTTAAGAACGTCTTCACCGTCTTCTGGGGGAGTTTATGTGCGCCGGCATATGGGCCGTAAAAGCCCCAGCAGGGATGTGACCGATAAAAGCAGCAATGTGTTATTCATAGTTTTATGAGACACGTCGATCTCTGTGTGATTATGTGGACGTTTATGGTCCGTGGTCCCGTGCACGCTGCTGGTTGTTGTGTCTGGAGGAGGCTGGTGTAAATCATGCTCACGGGGTGGATTTAGACTGTGGTGCTGTCTGCATGATTTAGCAGTTACTAAAACACCCAGTAAGGCCTGAGCGTGGCGGGCTTCACTCTGCTGACTCCCTGCTACGTAGGCAGGTGTACTGGTGAAACTCTGGTGATACGTTACGCGGTGAGCCACATTCAGCCGGACAATATAAGCAGTTTCTTACACTGAAATGATTGTAGGAAAATTCAGTAAACAGTACAAACTGACAGGTAACATGTCTGACCCGCTGGAGTCGCTGGTGTAGTTAGCTGTTCTGACAGGTTTTAGTATTTATCTCTATATGTTATTGTTTATGATTTGTTTGGTGTCATTCTTTTCAGCACAACCCCGTCCATGCGTATTTAGAGTCCTTTCTTCATTTTGTCTGTATTAGCACACTGAACCCAAAACAAAAACATGTAAATCCAAGTAGAAAAAATAACATGTTTATTGCAGTGAAAACCAAAAACATTTGTAACGAACCGTTTTCATCACTCAGTATGAGTAACACACACCACAGGTCAAATGTAGCAAACAACTGTTAAATGCATGTTTTTGCATAAAAATCAAGGCATGTCTCGGGTGTTTTTCATGTTAAAGTGCTGTTATGCTGAAAATTGAGTTCCACACATCCTGTCTACCTCCGCTACTTCCATAAATGTCCAGCAGAAGACAGGATCAGGTTTAGCAAGCCACACATTCATATACATATGTTTACATTTACATTATTTACACACACACACACACACACACACACACACACACACACACACACACACACACACACACACACACACACTTATATATTAGTGGTGGGCATAGATTGATTTTTTTAATCTAGATTAATCTCACTGTAATCTTGGAATTAATCTAGATTAATCTAGGTTAAAATGGCTCATTCAAATTCTGCCAAAGGCATATGTGTGTGCTACCTAGATAATGAATAAAAGCAAGTCTTTGAGAATGGAGGCATATTTCTTGTTTCAGTAATGCATCACAGACTGATAAAGCAGTTTTACTACGATAACTGATGATGAAAATAAATAATGATCAATAAGTATTTGTGTTTAATAGCTGTTTATTCAGTTCAACACATTCTGCACTGTAGGTCAACAGAATAGGTCATGATTAACTATTTACAGCCAGTAGCATTTGGTCAATCAGTCCAAGCTCTATTTCTCCTTCTTCCACCAGTCACTCAAGCAGACCAGCCTGTTCACATTGTCTGGTGACAAACTAGATCTTCTCTTCTGCACAATATGGCCTGCTAAAGAAAAAAAGTATATATATATATATATATATATATATATATATATATATATATATATATATATATATATATATATATATATATATATGTATATGTATATGTATATATATATATATATATATATATGTATATATATATATATATATATATATATATATATATATATATATATATATGTATATGTATATATATATATATGTATATGTATATATATATATGTATAATATATATAAAATTAATTAATTTTATTATTTTGTTTTTTTCTAACCCTAACCCTGCATCTAGAAAGTATTACTTTACTTTAATTATGAGTGATTTTGAGATGGGGTGACTGGATTCGTATCTCAGCCTATAGGTTAAGCTTGCTCTTGTTTTACTTCCTGACTCCCGAGTCCTAGCTTACGGTGAAAAGCAGCGTGAGCCGAAAAAGGCTCTGTTGGAAGGATGTTGCTCTGCATCTGCCACAGATCAAACGCACAAAAGCACCGTTATGTTGGCATGACTTATTTACCTTAAATGTCTTACTTTTACTTGGATAAACACGTTACCAACATGTTGGTGTGTCCACCCTTGGACTGTGAGATCGGGGCTCGATTCCCGGTTGGGTCTTTCCAAAGACTCTAAAATTTGGACCCAACGCCTCCCTGCTCGACACTCAGTTTTAGGGGGCTGGATTGGGGGGGGGGGGGGGGGGGGGGGTTAAACCACCGAATAGTTCCTGAGTGCAGCCACTGCTGCAGCTCACCGCTCCCCTCCATGCGGACGGGTCAAATGTGATGAATTTCACCGGTGTATGATGATGACTGTGGGGCTTTAATCCAAAACTTTTATTTATTTTTAAGCCCCTTTTTCAAAACAAGCTGTACTCATGTTACCTGGTTGCATAAAAACAGGAGTAATGCGACCAGCACGCCATCATGGCGAGTGGATTCACCCCAGAGTGTTCACATGAGGTGTCTGAACCATAACAAAGCCCATGGCACACTGCTGCTGACTAGCAGTGGGTGTTTGAATTGCACCAAAAGAAAAGAAAATGCACAAATGTTTGCATGTAAACTCTTCCAAAAATTCGATACACAGCTTTTGAATATCGATATAACATTGCAGGAAAAAATATCACGATATATTGCCATATGGATATTTTCTAACATCCCTGCTGCTAAGTGTTCCCCTTCAGAGCAGCTGCTGTTGGAGGGATGCCCAGCTGGGTCCGGACAATAGCCCCAGTTCTATAATATGTTTCCTAACACACAAGATGACCCGGTAACGTTGATATGGCTGTAAGAATACAACCGGTGAGTCTGCAGGCTTAGCCGGAGTGGCTCCTGCTAGCTAACTGTTGCTCCGTCTCACACGTAAAGAAAATAATGCCGAATCCTCAGAATCTCTTGTCCACATGGTCAGTGGGGACATCTACGTCTTTATCAGCTGATCCTCTTTTTAAGCTCGCCGCTCCACCCAGCTGCGGTCCGTGAAACGCCTCGTGAAGGTCCCACGTGGAGCTGGATTATGCTGGTTTGTCCCGGAGCTCTGTGGGAACTGGGCCCTGATCAGTATGCAGCCCTGAGCTCAGTAGCCAACAACCTGTGATGTGTCCATTCTTCTGCTTCCATCTCTTTCATTTTTCATTGTTTCTTGTAGAAGCAGAAAGCTGCTGAAGTGAGTCTGTTGCAGCGTATCGCTGCACGCTGTCAGACCAACACTGGCCGCTAAATCAGACCAGACAGAACCAAAACAAGTAAAGTTTAAATCCAATTCCCTGCGAGACTCCTCGGGTTAAGAAATGATGATGGAGCGGTAGCGCCAAATGAAACTCCCAAGCTCTTGCTTTATTTTTCCTGCAGTAATAAAAAGTGCGGTGTTTCCTGACGTTTGGCTGTGAAATCCATCTCGTCTTTGGCCGTGTGGGCAGCTCTGCAGCTTCCTCTGTATTCTACGGCTGACCTTGGTGTCTGCCTCAGCTCACTTCCTTTCAGAGTCCAGTACCTGCGCCGCTTTTTTCTGTCTCTGAGTCTTATTATAACGGAGTGTCAGTGTTTGGCTTCAGGGCTTCTCAGAGGGGAGTGAGAGCACAGATCCAGTCCATGCACACACTCAGCTGTCACGCCGCTGCTCTGATGTCTAATTCTGGCTTCCTCTGTTTGTCCACCTCTGACAGGACCTCCCTCTGCACCACAGAACCTGGTCTACAACATCAACCAGACCACGGTTAACCTGGAGTGGAGCCTGCCGGCCGACACCGGCGGTCGTAACGATGTCACCTACAGGGTGATCTGCAGGCGCTGCAGCTGGGAACCTGAGGAATGTGTACCGTGTGGTCCAAATGTGGGCTATTCTCCTGCACAGTCGGGGTTGGTGGACACCTATGTGAGCATCGTGGACCTGCTCGCCCACGCCAACTACACCTTTGAGGTGGAAGCTGTCAATGGAGTGTCGGACCTGAGCCGCACGCAGAGGCTGTTTGCGTCGGTCAGCATTGCTACGGGCCAAGCAGGTAAGCGTTTCTGAAACCTGGTTTTAGTTCTCAGCAGCTCTCTTATTGGGGTCAGCAGGCTGGAGGCCATCTTTATTTTGTATTCTGTTCCTGCGTACTCCGGGTCTGCTTGTCTTTTGTCCGTCTCATGACATCTAAAGAGGAACTAGTGGACTAAGATAAGATAAAGTGGTCTAAGGATGTAGAATCGTTAGCTAAACGGCTAACTGACGCCGTTAACTGGGATTTTCCACATTCAAAGAGACAGCACTCGGGACAGTTCCTAAAAAGGAAACGTCTTTTTGTCTCCTTCATGGGGGTGGGTGGGGGTGTCCAACTGCAGCTGTCACCAGCCTAGGGCCGGGGGACACTTGAGCATGTCTCCAGTCCATCACAATCCTTAAAGGGACATTTAAACAATATCCAAGTGTTTCTATGTAAACATTATTCCAAATTATTTAACCTCCTGAACAGCCTCTGTTCAGAGAAATAGCATCTACGTTAGTGATGCACCGATATGGAATTTTTGGGCCGATACCGATATCTGATATGAACTCATTCACTGCCAGCTGTTTTCTGATCGGTAAAGCCCTTCACTGCCAGCGTATCTCAGTGTTTTTACAGTTTTTTTTAAGAGTCACAGAACGTTGCGCGCTAGGATGATGTCGACAACAAAACTACCAAAACAAAGCGGAGACTCACCTCTTGCATCAGGAAGAATCTGCACATTTCGAGCTTTATCCGTTCTTTAATAATCAGTTGTTGAATTGTGATCGGCAGAAGCTTTTCCGGTTTGCGCCTCACTTTTTTTTACAGCAGCGGCCCAAAACGATCTCCTAACACATGGATGTTCTGCTTCCTGATCACGTGTCGTGTGACGTACGTGGATGAAGATTGGCTTTAGAGCTGAGATGTTTGTTCTCACGATGCGGGGGCTCGTCCGACGCCCACACAGTAAAAAATTGCAAATCACGACTTTAATCGTCATTGGCAGCGAATGAGTTAAGATCACTGTTATGGCCGATAACCAATACACTGTTAGGGATTTTATCAATATGTTTATCAATAACCCATTTCCTGTAGTTGAAGAGAAAAGGAGACAATGAGACAACAAGTCAACCAGTTATAACTGTGGCGTATGCACGAGGCAAAATGCCCCGAACATCTAATCACAGACTTTACTTAAACTAAAAGATAAGAAAGAAATGGCAGGGGGGGGGGGAGGGGGGGGGGAATTGTGTGTGTGTGTGTGTGTGTGTCTGAATAAGGCTTGGTTTATGCTTGACGCATTTACTTCCCGCTTGGTGATGCGGCTCGCGGATGGAACGCGCTTCACAACTCGCAGCGTTTATGGTTCGTGCGGCTCGTCTCTGCGGTGAGCCAATATTCTCCCAAACTGTAGGGGGCAGCATGGAGCTCTACGGCATGCATCCAACACTACACCGTAGTAGAAGTAGTAATTACAGTTTACAACATGGCATTCCAGCATTTTTAACAGCGTCCTCGTCTTTTCCGACAGTGCGAGCTATTTCTCTCCAAGAATTATTAACAACATGTTGATCACGGTGATCTCTGAGAGCTGAATCATACAAATGTCTGTATTTACCAACCTCTGCCATACTACTTCTTGCCGGTCCGCCATGCTTTTCCGCTTCCGACCGTTCGCGTGGTTAGAAAATTTCCTAGGTGCGCGGTGTGGAAATTTTGGGCCGTGTGGAGGCGCGGTGGAGGGGCGTGGTTGGTAAAATGACGCAATTTCGCCGCGCGGAGCCGTGCGAACCTCGCGGACGCGTCAAGCATAAACCAACCTTAAGCGAGAATGCAAAGAGGCATAAAGTAATACATATTACCTTCACCTGATTGAATCAATGATCAAGAAATATCACATTTCCATAACGACTGACATCAGTGCTTCTAAAATCAGCAGTTTTTGTATATAATGAAAACGATTAAAGCTGAATTTACGTTATTGTGGACACACAACACACACATTTACACTTCTGAGATGATTTCATTCACTGCTCACATGACTAAACAATTACACATCACCCTAACCCAGTAACAGTAGGTATGAAGGAAATTACTACTGTTGTTATTTAACCATTGGTTAATGGCTCCAATATAACCAGACCTTAATGGGCTGCTTATGTCGGAGCTTTTTGATGCAGTCCGATATAATTTGATAAAGTGTCTTTGGGCCGATATCGAATTACTTTCTATATTGATATTAGAATTCAATTCAAAAATACTTTATTAATCCCAGAGGGAAACTGATTGCTGTAGTAGCTCAGGATAATAATAATAATCAAGTCATCAAAGAGTTGTTGTATATTACAACGGCTGTTGGCAGGAAGGATCTCCAGTAGCGGTCAGTGTTGCAGCCAAACTGAAGAAGCCTCTGACTGAAGACACTCTTCCGTTGTCGGACAGTCTTGTGAAGAGAATGCTCAGGGTTGTCCATCATTTTCTTGATTCTCTGGAGAATCCTTCTTTGCATCATCTCCTCCAGCGGTTCCACAGTCGTCCCCAGAACAGAACCAGCCTTTTTATTAGGCTGTTGAGCCTTTTCAGGTCCCTGCTTCTGATGCTGACCAGCACCTGATGTATCATTGCCCATTATGATCGATGGAAGAGATGGTTTGAATTTCCTCCCGCTCTGCACCCACGCTTCTTGCGTTTTAGCTCATTTGGGATTTGTGGCTTCAGTTGAGGTATTATTTCAGCCTTTTCAATGTTAATCAGCTGATCCCGATTGTAAACCAGCTTGTTGCCATGGTTACGCATCATAACAAATGCTCAAAAAAGTCAAAAAAATTGCAGTAAACATAATCTAAGCTTCACAGCACCAGAAACAGAAAAGTAAAATATCAAAAAATACAGTTTTTCTTGAGAAACCAGAAGACAAAAGGCCCAAGAAAAGGCAAAACTTACATATAGTCAACAGAGCTACTCCAACATGCAGCCACCCAGAGCAGCGTCGTTCCGGAAAGAGAACGGGGAATCTTAAGTGATCTTACATTTTTCTGATTTTATTTACAATCATGAACGTTGCCCGCTGCAGCCAAATGCAGCTCCTGGGGTCCCTCTGTGACCTGGAGGATGTAGGAGCGGGTTCCAGACCCTAACCTCCTGCTACAGACAGGAGTAAAACACTGATCTCGTGACCCGCTGGCATATTTACGAGATCAGAGCTGTTTTAGCATGGCAACAACACAACTAGCTGTTAGCTCATCGGTCCTGCAGGACATCAGCCCTATTACTCCAAACAGAGGCTGTTCCAGATATTAGGCAAGACATGAATAACTGTTGATATTTCCCAGACAGAAACACACCTGAGAGTGTGTGGAGGGCTGTAGGAGGAGTCGGTCGGGTGTTTGCGGGGTTTGGGCCGTAGGAAGCGGCTGTCATACACCAGCCTCAGTGATGACTCTCAGTCAGCAGTAATGCAGGCCGTCTGATATGATCCGTAATATTTCCGCCGTGCGTGACGCCCAGATTAATTGCATGTGTATATCAGCACTGCAGTAGCAAACACTATTAGCTTAGCAGTGATGCAGACTGTCGGCGGGCCGTGGGGGGGTGCTTGCAGCTCGGCCTCGTGGGAGTTAGCTGTAATTAAAAAGCTTCGCGGTAACAAACTGAAGCCTTTTTATTCTGTTTCTATGGATCCGCTCAACAACATTCCTCTTTCATGCTCGAGCGTCCGTGAAAGCAGTCGGCTCTAAGGGCTGTTCTCAGACCGCGGTAATGAAGCTACAGCACGAGTCCGTCTGCTCAGCAGAACCGGCCTTGTTACGGGCTGACTGGATCAGGACCGGAGGCACCATGGAGTTCTGCTGCCTTCACTTGTGATGGGAACAGAGGACGCCTGTCCAGGGACACGGCACAGCCAGTCGCACCTGCAGGCAGCGTGTCGGTCAGACTCGTCAGGTGGGGCAGGACGGTTCACGTGGGAGAGGTTCTGTTTATTAAAACGTTTTATTAGTTAATAACAACAAGTTCTGATCAGAAGCGAAGACTCTGATGGTTCCAGTGTTTCGTGGTTGGGTGTGTGATAGCTTTAAACCATGATGCAACACTTTACTCCTCCATGAAACCAGAGTCGTCTAATTCCTTCAGGGTTAACGGCTCTTCGAGGCAAACGGAAGCCCTCCGTCTGCTCAGGGCTCGAGCAGCACAACCGAGCCGCTGATGACGGCTAAACCAGCGTAGCAGGACGTCAGCATCACCCGGCTGTGATGGGAGCCAGCTGGCGACTCTGCAGCATCCGTAGAGCTTAGTGGTCCTTCAGTGACCCGCTGGGTCAGAGCTAAAAGCTCTGGTTTTTGCAGGGTACCCTCGCCCAGCGGTGTGAGCATACCCACTTCTTTATTATTGCTAAGATGAGGTTTTGGGTCAGATCAGAATAAACTGGCAGATGAGAGGAAAGCATGTTCTCTGGAACACGTTTACTGCCTTTAAAACACGTAAAAGCAGCCGTCGGGGGCCGAGGTTTCCCACTCCTTAAACTGGAAACAGTTTTTCTTTGTTTTTAAGAGTTTCGTATCTCACGTGTTCCGGTGCTCTCATCCTTCAGACGCCACGTGCGTGCCTAAAAACCACACCTGCTTGAGACGCTTTGTTTAATGATGGAATAAGTCACACTTCACTGATACAAGTGAGTAATCGAAGAGATTTAATCCCTAAATCTCTGATCTAGCCAGTCAGATCAGAGGACAGGTGCGTGTTAGCATGAGTGGACCCTTGCTTGGTGAGCTGCTGAGGCCCTTAGCGCTGAAACAACCTGACAAAAGTGGAGCGCCATCTACCGTCCCCTCCATCAGGAGCATGAGCTCACAGCAGACTCGCCCCATAAGAAACATTCACTCCCCTGAACACACCAAAGAAAACGTGTGCCTGAGGAGCGGAAACCTCCCGGCTTCGTCCTGGATGACTTTAAGTGGAGGCTGCAGATTTGTAAGCTGGGTTTCTGCTGCTCCTTCTCTGCAGCGGTTGAAACGTAAAGCCTCAGGTTGAGAGGT